TGCCGTGGGCAGGGGCACCTTCCACTTAGACCAGGTTGCTCAGAGGTCCCATCTGACCTGGTCTTTCAAGTTGTCTCAAAGCCATCTTGAAGTTAGCAGATCCTCAGAGTCTCAAAGACCCCAAAGAGTCCTGCTGAGGTTGGAGGTCTTTCTCACTCATCCCAGGTGGTGACTGAGCAAGCACATTCCGCCCTAAGCTTTTCTAAGCGTTCACATCCAGTAGCAAGAAACGTCCCCTTACACTGCCTCATGGCCTGATCTTCTAGACAAGTCACTGAAGCTCTTGAAGAGTGAAATAGTTATGTCTAAGAGTAATATTTCTGTTAGAGCATGGATATTTTAACCTCCCTCTACAGCCCTTTAGAGGAGTTGATCTGCTGCATTTTCCATCTGCCTTTCTTTAAGTATGTTGTGAAAGTAATGGCTAAAAAAGACAGCACATATAAGTACAAGTTTAAACATTTCCTTTATGCTTTAACTTCATAGTTGGCATTCAGTGAATTGTAACAGCATCTCACATGCACATGTGCCATTTTTCGAGGCATTAATGTTGCTAGATGGAGTATTGTCAGCCAAGAAGCACTTTTTTTGTTTTCTGATAACGTTCAGAAAGGAAAAATAGACGAGGAATTGGTGTGGGGTATATCCTGATGAATTATTTTAGTCTTCCTCTGACTATACCCCCTTTACTCCCTTTCTTATCCCTGTTAGGTGTTAACCCTTCATTCCCTGCTCCCCCACCCCTAAAGTGAATCATCCAGGTAATTTTAAAGCTTTTTCTCTCAACAGATAATAGTGTGGAGCCACACATATTATTCTCTACTTGTCATATGTATTGGATTATCATCTAAATTACATTATAAAACAGGACGAAGCAAGCAGTTGTGTTTGCCCTACCTACTGCTTAGCTCAGCTGAGCTGATAAGTTAATGTGGTGAACATATCTGCAAGGTGGAGGTATTGTTGTTTAAAAAAGTCTGGAGCTGGGGTTTATTTCCTAGGTAGGAGTTGAGTGCTGGGACGGGGAAAAAAGCTGAAAACTAGAGAGTATTTTATTTTGCATTTTCATTTGGTTGTGAAATTGAGTACTTCTAATGAATTTCCATCATCAGCTTATTGCAATTAATACAATATAGCTTATGTTGAAATCTATAAACTTTTTGCTCGATCATGTTTCTTTTAATATGTATAGTTCTGAGCAATCACAAATCCATAATGAAAGAGAATTTAGGAGTGTTTCTTTAATCTTGCTACATGCTCTCTTCTTTCTTTGTTAGTAGGTATTAATGTTACAGCTTTTTGATAGTATTGAAATACAATGCTGGACAGGTTCCTCAATGTGTTCCTTTATTAAAATGTTCATCTTTTTTATATAAAAAAATCATTCTGATTCACCGTCCTGTCAGTGCTGTAGTGAAGAAAGGATTCCCTGTTAGGATAATTGCCATCTCATTATTTTTTTGAGCCTGAAGCTACCTAGTAAATCATGGAAGCCTACTGTGAGAAAGACAGTCCTATTTTAACAATCCTTCTTGCTTTTGCTTCTTTGTAAGAGTTGCTTCTATTAAAATTGCACTTTTAAGAGCTTCTTGTGCTTTATTCACCTCATGATGTAATTTACATATAAACTTTTGTGTTGTATTTAAGCTAACATACATTTTTTTCTGTGGTGCTTCTGAAGTGAAGAAATACTTGCTATGGTTGTGCTAGTCTAGAGTTTCTAAGAACACAGTTAAATGAAAATTCACTAGTTTTCTTCGCAGGAGTCAGTTTGTATATTGTTCTATATATTTATGTATATAGAGATGTGAATGTATAAGCTCCTATGTGCATATCATACGGTATCGGGTTTCATTACGTTGTAACATAAGTACACGCAGCAGAGAGGAGCAAAGAGCTGAAGTGTTTGGGACAGAAGGGTTAATACCATACCTTAATGCGTGTGGATGATGCCATTTGTGAGCTCTGAGGTGTCTGACCACTTCCATTTTGGTGTAAATCCCTTGAAAGGGAAAGCATTTCAGAGCCAGGTGTGATCTGTTCTCCTGGTAGGAATGATTGACAAGGAATGAATAAACAGTTAAAAGAACTGAATAAATACCACCCTCTTGTTTAAGTCCAGGCACATCCTGACTGGCACATATATATTCTAATTCGACACTTCAGCCAGGTGCTTTAGTTGTTTGGTAGCAAAAAACATTGCCAAAAAGCCAAATCATAGTTCAATCTCAACTTCTTCTGATAAGAGTTTTCTTTTATAGTAGCATTTTAGTGGTGATTTGAATAAATACAGGGAATTACAGTATTTTGCAAATGGGATGTGTTGATATATATATGCAAGGTGATGGAGGCCTCTTGAGTGAAAGCAGGGGCTTTGACAGCAGGTTCTTGGTCAATTGGTGAGGCGAGATGGTTCACTGAATTGGATAACACAGTGCATACACAGTGACTGATTAAATTGATTTGTCCATGGCTACTGCCTACCCTGCTACAGAGGCCCTTTAACCTATTTTCAAACTTTTTCTTTTTTAAACCATTCTAAATACGTGTGATATTAAGGGGAAAAAGAAAGTGAAAATGCATTCACAGCTATAAAATTCTATATTCTGAATTAAGGTAAAATACACAATTTCCAGAATGTCTGCACACTCCCATGTTATACCATATTATACTATACTTATCCCAGGGACAAGTACACTGCTAGAAACCAATGATAAAGATAATAATAAACATCATTCTGTAATATCACCTAAATTGCAATCAATACTACATTTGTGAATTCTTAGATGTATTTATTGAAATGGGAGAAAGCAAAACACTTAGGGTTTTTTTGTTGATGGTCTTCTCTTGTTTCTCTAACTGCAAGTTTTACTTACTTCCTTATTATTTTATCCAGAAGGTGTTTAGAATGCTTGTAGTGAAAACATAGCAGAATGCCAGTTAAGAAGACCGAATGCTACTGTTAAATGTGGGGTACCTAACTGAAAATATCTGCAATGATTTGGGGAAAAGCAGTCAGATAGATATTGTTTAATAACTTGCAAATTACTTTTTTAACTGTAGAAAAGCTTGGTGTTTTGGTCTTAGGTCAGTATGCTTGTGTTTTACAACATATTCAGCATGTCATTTCCCTTCCTATGCTAGGGAAATCAATACTAAGTGATAACGGGGCTTGTACATGCTATTTTCTTTGTGATTCAAGGGGAGCTTTATATTGTGTGTCTCTTCCTGGGTTAGTCTGTAGTATACGCAGACAGACAAATTCCATTGAAAAATCACATCAAACTTCAGTGCAATGGTGACATGGAAGCAGTTCACCTAAAATAATGTTATCGCTGTTGTAGAAGTGCAGAGTTCTTTGTACTGGATTTGGTTTCTTGTTTCGTGTTTCTTATTCATTTTTAGGGAAGATAGAGCAATGTAATTACAATAATTTCTGAAAGGATAATGAAGTTCTATTCATCATTTAACCTGTTTAAATTATAGATCAGTCTTGTAGGACATGACAGCATACATACAGCATGCCATGAGTAACTTGTGCTGTATTTTCATTTGTCTGTGGAAATAAAGATATAGTTAGTATCTTGCTACTAGTAATGAAGAGATAAGAAGAGGTAGGTGCCAGGGATTGTTTCTTGGAGTGGATTTGCAAATGTTAACAGCCATTTTGCAGTCTTTTTTAAAATCATGCAGGTTTTATCAATAGCATTTCTTTGCAAGGTAAAGTTCAGTAGGTAAGACTGGCTGTACATATGGCTTTGCATGGACTAAACTTCTTGATTTCGGATAAACTAGTAGTGACCACGTCATACTAGGTGAAGTAGTGAAACAGTGCATTGTAACTTCCCGGGAATCTGAAAATTTGAAATATTTTTATGTGGGCTGGAGCCAGAACATGCTGCATTATTTTGTACATATAGTTAGTTATAGTTACAGTCTTTTTCTTTAATCCTTAAATTGACTCTACAACCTAAACCTATGTGCAGTCGGATTTTTTTAAATTAGTTGATTAAGGGAAAGCAAAAAAAAATTATTTATTTGTTTAGTTCTTTCCAGTAGCATGTTAGATTATTATAAATCAAATGTCTATGCATTCAGTGCAAGTTTTATAAAACAAAGAAACAGAAACCATACAAAAATAGCCAAAATAGAAAGCTCAGTGGTGCACATAAGGTCACCATGCCAAAGGCGTGTAATTATTTCTTTGTATCTTGTGTTAGAATAATGTAATCCAATAACTGGCGTTCCTGGTGCGTGTTACAAAGGATTCAATAAGGAATAGCTGGAGATTTCTTCAGGACTCCCCTGCCTTACAAGGTTTATAGAAGAGTCTTTGTGGGTTTCAGCCCTGTTTGAGAAGTGCGGCTGAAGGAGGCTCTGCACCCCTCGGCTCCTGGGCAGCGCATCCCCTGGAAAATTGGCACCCCGGGTCACAACCGTGTGGCTTGGGAGTTTTGAGAGAAAACAAACAAAACGCTGTTTTATGACTCTTGCCAGGGCTTTGCTGATTTTGTTTTGAGTTGAAACCGTAAATGCCATTACAGACCCCCTGCCCCCGACTGTAAAGTTTTGGGCCAGAGCCTCGCCTGGCCGTGCCTTGGCTGAGCCAGAGGAGGCGAGGTGCCGGGCCCTCGGACAGAGCCAGAGCCGGGCTCGTGGCAGGGCACCGCGGCCCTCCTCTAGTTTGGGATTCCCTGGCCGAAAGCACCGTGTCCATCGGGAGCCCGAGCATCTCCGCGCGGCGCGTTTCGCTGTGGCGCGGCCCGGGAGCGGGGTTGGCGCTGGTGCCGCCGCTCCGCGCCCCGCGGCTTTCGCTCCGGCAGCGCTGGAACACCGAACTCGCCGCCCCTCGGTGCTGCAAGTACCGCGGCGAGCAGAGACAGTGGGGCGGCGATGGCTGGAGATCTGGTGCCCTCTAGTGGGGCCGGAGCCTACTCCCGTAGAAAACCTTCCCGCTTGACGCTGCATTGCATAACCTTTCTCTCTCTCTTTCATTTTAGATGCTACAACTGTGGTGGCCTCGACCACCACGCTAAAGAATGTAGTCTACCTCCGCAGCCAAAGAAGTGCCATTACTGTCAGAGCATCATGCACATGGTGGCTAACTGCCCCCATAAAACTGTCTCACAGCAACCCACTAGTTCTCAGGGAAGACACGAAGCTGAACCGCAGCCTTCCACTTCTGCCTTCCTGAGAGAAGGAGGAGGAATGCACGGCTACTCGTCTCCATCATACTCTCAGGAAGGCAGGTTGGAGGTCTTGGAGCGCTCAGGCAGGTCACCACAGGAAGCTTCGTCGAGTAAGTTGTCTGCATCGCCTGAAGAACCAAACAGAAAGGGGCCTTCTGTTCAGAAAAGGAAAAAAACTTAATACATTTGTCATAATGTTCCATTTTCTTTACCCTCTTGGGATGTCTACCTCATGCAAGTACAGGGGAAATAATTACATTATCGGTAGCTGACCTGGAATTTTAACTACTGTTGAGTAACTGTGAATATTTTTTTTCTTTAATAGACAAATCACTCCAAGCAAAATACATTTGAGCAGGGTGCATTATGTCTGTATGTGTGTATGAGTGTGCATGTGCGTGTATGTATGTGTACATACCTATAAATATATATTTTTCCATCAGACCATTCTCCAACTCCCACAAGACATTACTGTGAAGCAATAGGCACAGTATCCACAAACGTTCCTGAACTCATTCCTAGAACCCGTTTCCAAACATGTTCAAAAAACAAACAAGAAAACCCAAAAAAATCTCACTCAGAAATAAACCAAACCTGATAAAACACACCCAGAACTGAGACTGAGACTGTTACTTCTCTTGTAAATGAAAGAATACTTTCATATTTTAAAGCTGCCATATGGTACTAAAGATACTAAGACATCCCCCATGCCATCAATTTGAGTTATTTTCTTTTTATCTCCACAAAGCATCAAAACCCTTCCCCATGCCGGTGCAGGGCAGTGTCATGACTCAACATGGCTCTCATTGGCACCACCGGTTGTTGGTGAGGGGTTTAAAGCTCCAGAAGAGACAATGAATGTGTAGTTTCTGTGCTGGTTTCTCAAAACGTTTTGTTAAGTTAATGTGGTTGTAACTGTAATTTAGATGTCTGTTGTGTAGGGGAGAATGTATAAGTTGTTACCAAACAGACCCTTTTGAGTGGTATCAGGATACCATCCTGTCTAGCCCTTTTTATTCTGTGAACATTTAGGGGACCTTGGTGGCAGTAGTAGCAGCAGCAGCAGCAATTTCTCTTGATCCCAAGTAGTACCCCTCAGCTTGAAGGGTCTTCTCCCTTGTTTTTTTGCTGAAATGCCATGGAGAGAACTCCCTAGGGATTTTTGTTGTTGTTGTCTGTTTGAGTTTTAAACAAAACAAAATACAAAGTTAATGAGATCCTGGGCTAAATAGTTTCTTAAGAAGAAAGGTTGATGGGTACTTAGATCAGGATGTTTGGGATTGCTCGGTCAGCCTTCCTTGCTGATGATACAGCATGTGTGCAGACCAGCCTGAGTGAAGGGACCTGCACATTCTTCAGAAGCCCTGGGCATCATCTGCTTCTTGTGAACTGGAGGCTGTTGTTGACCAGCCTTTGTCCACAGTGCACTAGGACCACACACTTCTGTGTTAAAGAGGAGAAAGATTGGTGGCCTTAGAGTGAGACTCCCTGGGCTGCAGGCCTTGCTCAGGGTTAATAGAATTGGAGCCTATCAAAACTTCAAGTCGCTTTCCATTTGTAACTTCTGAATTACCAAGTCATACGTAAGATAACGTACTCTGACAAATCCCATTGTGGATGTAAGTTAATTAGAGAAACCTGTATAATCCTTAACATTGGCAATAAACACAGGCTGTTAAAGCTTGAAAGTGTCGGGTAGGTTTAAGCTCGGATAATCAAACTAAAGAAACAGCCTGCATGAAAGGCTGCAGTGAGCCAAAGTCCCACCCGTGGTAACTCTTTTGCAGCCGATAGTTACAACAGGTATGCAGCTGGCTCATTACGTGGCCTTCCCCTTCCCACTTGTCCTGCCAGATGAGACTTTTACTGGTGCTGCTGCTGCTTCAGTAAAGAGGTAGTAATCAAACGCCTCAGTGAAGGGCACAATTTCAAGAGAATTATTTTGTGTGAATTCCTTGCCAGTGTTTGTGAGAATCTTGAGGTTTATACTGAAGTTCTCAGTATGCTAATGCAAAGCTTACCTTTGACGATATTGAATGTGATGTATCTATAGAGAACTTCCTTGCCTTACGTAAGGATAGTAAACTTATTTAAATTATGTAGACAAATCAAAGTGGCATTGCTTAACCTTCTAGTTGGTGTAAAAACCAGGTTAAACAGCAAAGATGCAAAACTTAGGTCACTTTGAAATTCTAAACCAAAGTTCCTTATAGAAATAGGCAGTTGTGGATTTGAAAACTGGTCATTCCCTGTTTATATGTAAGAAGTTCAGAGCTGTGATAAGGAAATATTTTCAACATGCAGATTGTTATTGGTGCTGTTTAAAATCACTGTGCACACCAAAGTCAGACTGAACTGCTAAGAGCACATACCAAACCCTATCTTATTATTAAAAGCTTGAGGTTTTATTTTTATATATTAAAATGTTATCACTGTTACATAACATACTCAGGACAAAGAACTTTGCTCAGGGAATATACCATGTAATATTGTTTTTTCTTTACAGAATAGTCTACAGACCTGCTTACTCAGAACAAACCAAATAGTCTTATACTTTTTTATCTCTATATAAGTATTATGTACTGATATTAGTAACTACCTCTGAGTTGACATAGACCTACGTTTCTGATAATCAGATCTCAACATTTTGTATTATAAGTTCCTGTGAAATGATAAAGTGGTATTCTGTACTGGTTGTTTATGTGAGCATCTGTGTCTTTACATTCACAGGGTCTGAGTTTTCAGATATGCTGGGCAACCACAGCTCCCACTGACTTTCAGTCGGAGTTACTGGTGCTTAGCTTTTCTAGGAGGGGAGGGATGTAGGACGGAGGGGTGGAGGGGGAAGAATAAAAACACTGAAACATCAAACCTACTTATTTACATAGGTGACAATAAAATTATTTTTCTGTTTACAGCAAAAGGCTACCTCATATTTACTGCATAAACACACCTTTGTGCTGCTCTAGCCTTAAAGGTGGCTGTTGATCTATGGTACATACTTTTTATCTGTACTAAATATGTAACTGTTAGTTCACCACTGCAGACATTATGGCAAATACTTGTTTAAGATGAAGCATCTATTTGAAATTATGAGACGTTTCCAAACATTTCCTTGACAGTTTTTATTTTTCTATCTAGAGGATTATGGGCACTGTTCACAAAAATAAATATAGCTCCAGAAGATACAAAAATGTACATGCGTTAAGTTAAACATATATAGCAGCATAAGCTGCAGCAGGGAACTACTTAGCACTGGGCTGCAGTAGGAAAAAATCTAGTTATACTCCTTCAATAGGCTGATCCAAATAAGCAAAAAACCTTTTAAAGGAGGAGGAACAGACTAAGTTTAGGGTTCTTCCTTCATGTCTAAGGACAAAATTAATATTCTGCAGCGTTTGCTCAGGCTAGATTTCCCCCTATTCACCAGCTTGTCCTTGCCAGAATGCTTCACAATAAAACTCGTTAGAGTAGAAATAGTTCAAATATCTGCTTAGAGAGATGTATTTTTCTCCTAACAATAGCGGAGATAAGGTTAAACCCGGAGCAAGAATCTCTCTCCCTCCCATTTCCCCACCCCAGAGTACTCAATTTAATTGTAAGAGACACTGTGAGGTATTTTTTACTCTTCCCCAAGGAAAGGTCATGATATTTAATTACATGCTACAAAAGTTAGGCCATGAGGAAGACTTATATTTGGAGAAAGAGCCAAATAACTTTTTGCTGCAATTAATGGTAAATCTGGCATTGTAATACCATTTGCAATATTTTGCTTTTAGCCAGCTTTCAGGGAGTGCCAAACACCACATTTGGATCCTACAGCTTCTCTTTGCAGGCCACCTTTTTCAGCCATTTTATTCTATACCAGTGTTATCCTGGAGTTCCTTATTGGTCATACTTAGTTTTGTTAATAGAGCCCCATAAAAAAAAAAGTGCTTATAGATCTTGTAACATTCTTTGTAAGAAGAATTATAAAAGAACATGGGAAATCTCATTGAGTCTTAAATTTAATTTAATTAATTTATCTGTAAGAAATGTTTATCATAAAAAATATATATGTATTCCCCGGTGTTAGATATAAAAGTAATTGGGAAGATATGTACATGTGCAGATGCACTGATTGTAATTTTCTAGAAGTCTTAATGAGATTTGAGTATTGCTTTAGGAACAAGAAGAGCCTTGTTAAATGCATCGGTCTTATTTTGCTTAGTATATCAACAGCCTCTTCTTTAAGATCCGGTGGTTGTGTTACCCCTGTTACAACTGTAGAGGTTGATCTATGAACACATGCTTCTTTTTTTCTGTATAAACCGGAGCTGTATATTAGCAGCTGTGGCAGTGTTTTTCTGAGAATGTTGAAGAGTAGCAAGGTATTTGCTGCCATTGTCATTGAACGAAATGCATGAGCAACCATCTTTACAAAGGATAATGGTTTTGACTACCTCTTGAATTACTAAGTTAAGCAACAACTGTCTGACAAACATCACCAGACTGGCTTAAACTAGTATGTGTTGCTTGTGGTAATAATAAAAATAACCATACTAGAGACCAAAGTGAACACTGATTTCTGTATGTCTTTAATACTGTGTCTTATCTAGTGTTTTTAAATTATCTTCTGTAGTATAGATTACCTCATTGTCCATTTTGACTTGTATGTTGTTTACAAGGTGAAATAAAAGAAAAATCACTTGAATTTTGTGTTTTAAGAAAAAGACCGCGAGTTGAAGTTTTGAAGATCATTTCACCTGTTTACTGTCTTGAGGGACTAAAGCACTGATTGCCTTTCTACATATCATGTATTTTATATTCTCATTTCATGCCTAATGTCTTTTTTTTCCTGTCAGTCATGGATATTGTGAGGTTTAAAAGATTTACTTGATTAAAAATAAAACATATAACGTTGGCATTTACAATGAGCCTTTGAGATTTGCTTTATTTGCATGGTAAAAACACACTGCACAGCCACTGGGCAATTTTCATTTGCACCTATGCTCACTTAGTTTTGGGATATTGCCTTCAGAAAATATAATTTTAGTTATATAAGCTATTGTTGGGAGGAGGGAGGAATAAATGATTAATGCATACCTGGATCATACTAACAGTGCTGCAGCAATTGCACCCCAGACTCCATTCAGCTATCGAAATTAAACTGCAAAATTATAGCTTTTGGTACTATGAGAATACACTGGTCATTAAAGTTGTCAGGCATTTGGCTTATTCTCTGGGATGAAAAGCTTTTGGTGTTTTAAGCCTCATCCCATTTTAATTACTTCTTCCATAATCTGTAAGCTTGTACATACCTATTTCATGCTAATTTAAAATGAATTGGTGTTTCTTTTTTAGATAGGAAAGTGCTGTCATTTTTCATTATCTGGAAATTCCTTCTCTAAATTACATAAAGTCTATTAGTGAGTTGGATAGCAATAGCTCATCATTCTGTATTAAAATATTTAAGGGCTTGTGTATGCCAGCTCCAGTGCTTCTGTTTCTACACATGTAGGTGATTAATAGCAAAATTTAACAGTCTCTGCTAAATACAGGGCAGAAAATATTTTTTTCCATTTGTGCAAACACCTGCATGAAAGGGTTACCATCTACTACTCTTCTAGTCATGAAACACTTCCATTTACTTCCCCTCACCTCACCCCTCTAATTCTTGGCCCCAAAAAAGAGTGAGCTGTGAAGATGTGTCCAATCACATCCAGTCGTGTCTGCACCCCCCCCCCCAACCTGTAGCCAAAT